TTGGGACCGCAGCACCCTGTTTGTGACCCCCCCCACGGGGCTGGGTTGTGCCTGGGGGTGCAGGTCCTTTGGATGGAGGATGGAGCGGTTGGCCCCCATGCCGTCGGCTTCGTTAGGGGCCCCTTGTTGGCACTGGGGCCACTGTTGCTGGGCGGGATTTTCCTCCGGCTCTGGGGAGATCCGGGCGACTGGCGCACCCCTCCCGCCCCCCCAGTTCCTGGTGGGCTCTTGCAGCTGTACGTGGTGGGGGCGGCTCCGTCAGATGTTCCTGCCAAGGGATGGGAAGGGGAGAAAAGGCAAATAACCCAAAAGGAACCCAAATAAATGTCAAAAATAACCCAAAAGAAACCTAAAAGATAGGCTGGGGGAAGGTTTGGGTGGGTTTGCGAGGGGCTTTGTGGGCTCGGGCCAAGGCAGGCGTGGGGTTTGGGGGGTTTCCTGCTGGTTTCTCCCACGGGGCCATCCCTGCACCCTTGGGAAGTGCCGTGCCGGTGTTACTGCCTGGTCTGGGGGCTCTGAGCACCCTAGACGTTTTCTCCCAGGAGAGCCCACGGAAGATGCCAAAATCTGTCCCGCCGGCGGCTCTCCCATCCTCACCAGGAGTCCCTGCCTATAAAACCGGGGCCAGCCGAGCCGTGGGGCATGTTTATGGGGATTGATCCAGGGGGGCTGAGTGCTTGGCAGGATGGGACCCATCCTTCCGCCCTAACCAAACCCTATGCCCAGACCCAAAAATCAGGTTTACCGATGGCATCCCAGTGCCGGGAGAGGGGCTGTGCCCACCTCCCCATGCCAAGGTGGCTCCTGGTCCTGGCCAAACACCTCCTCTCACCTCTCCCCATCCCCTCTCTGCCCGCAGGGCCGCAGGGGCTTGGGGTCCATTTTCGTCTGGGCGTCAGGGAACGGCGGCAGAGAGGGCGATTACTGCTCCTGCGACGGTTACACCAACAGCATCTACACCATCTCCATCAGCAGCACCACCGAGAACGGCTACAAGCCCTGGTACCTGGAGGAGTGTGCCTCCACCCTGGCCACCACCTACAGCAGCGGGGCTTTTTACGAGCGGAAAATAGTAAGTTTTACCCTGACGTCGAGCGCGGCAGCATCCCCCGAATGTTTTCTGCGTGGTTGGGCTGGATGATCGCTCGGTTGCAAGAGCCAGGCTTTGCTTTTAGCTCTGTGGTGGGTTTTGCTCGTGTTTTTTTTTATGCTGGAGGACAAAATTGCTCTGGGAGGAGCTCAGGGATGCGGCATTTTCCCTGGTAGATGGGTGAAAGGGCTGGAGGTTTGCAAAAATACCCGTGCAAATGTTTACTGGTCCCTCAGAGTGCCTGCTCGCTGTCCTCTGCTTAAAAAAGAGGGAATTTTCAGGCTTTTTAGCCTAAGACAGAGGAAAAAAAAAGGGAGAATGGAGGCATTTGGCAGGGATGCGGCAACTCGAACAGGGAGCAGAGACTTTTTGGAGGCCAGGAATTGCCTAAAAATTTGTGCACGTGTGGCTCTGCCAGCTGAGCGAGCACAGCGAGGTGTCTCCTTACCCCCATGGGCTTCCCACCGCTGCGTGGAATTAAATAGGAGCCAAAGCCAACGTCGTCTTCCTGGTCAGTTCCCTCCTTCCTCTCCCTCCACGGCGCAAGGCTGCAGAGGTGGTTTGCTGGTTTTCCCTGCTGCCCAGGCTATGTTTGCCCTGTCCCAACAGCTGCTGTGGTCTCATTACAGCGAGGCATTTCGTTACCGATGTCCTTATCCATGATCCAAACCTCCAGCAGTAAAACATCCCCCCCCGGCACGGCGCCTTACCTGAGCTGGGAGGGAGTTTTCCACCCAAATTAGTTTTTTGACAAAAAAAAGTTGGGTTTTTTAAAGGTTGTTTGTTTTTTTTTTTAAATCAAGAGTAATTTGTTTGACCTCTAAAAGATTCATTTCCAGCCAGGAAACAGAATCCAAGTGCCATTTTCATGGCACTCAGGAGAGTTCGCATGGCTGAGGCATCACTGGGCAAAAAAGCAGCTTCCAGGGACTCTCAAGGAGAAACTGGGTGGCATGTCTTCTTCCCCCTCCAAAATCACCAGATTAACTCAAAACCCAGGAGCCTTTTAAAAATGTAACCGACTGAGCATCTCTTTGCCCACCTCGTCTCTCCGAGCTTTTGGTACCCAAGCATCACACTCTGCCCTGAAACAAAAAAGCTGGAAATGGCTTTTTTTCTTTTTTTTCCTTTTTTCCCCACTATTCAAATAGAAGCTCTTGCCCAATGCCAGGAGCTGAAGCTTTTAAGGAAAGCATTTAATACGGCGCAGCTCTACATGCACCCATGGTTGTAGAACCCCGCCAGCCCTGCCCCACTCGCACCACTCCATCCATGCCTTTTCCTCCAGCTGATCCATGGCAAAATTACCTTTTTCCCCCCCTTTCAGATAGCAAAATGTAAGCAGGGGTGTTATCTCCTGTGCCCAATGCGTCCACAGCACATTTTAAGGGGCTCAGAGTGCCCTGATGGCGTGGAAGCTGTGGCAGTTTTGGGTACCCGCAGGCTCCGCTCCCCGCTGGCAGCATCTCAAGCAAACCTGGGATGCTGGATGGGATAGTTCCCGTGCCAGCAGCAGCTCCGGCAGCATGGGAGCTGCAGCTCCTCTCTCCGCAGGTCACCACGGATCTCCGGCACCGCTGCACCGATGGCCACACCGGCACCTCCGTGTCCGCCCCCATGGTCGCTGGCATCATCGCCTTGGCTTTGGAGGCAAAGTAGGTGTAACCTCGCCGTCGGCTTGCGGGGGAAATGTTTCCATGTTTAGTACCTGGCGTGCCATACCTGGAGAGGAAAAAAAAAAAGGGTGTCTTTTTTTGACTCTGGAGCAACTCAAAACAGGGCGAAGTTATTCTAAATTGCTCCTTTTTGGCAAGGTTTGATGCAGTGCTGTTGTTTTGCATCTAATCTTCCTGCAGGTGTTTTATTGAGCTAATTCTTCACATGTTGCCATCTGTTGAAAAGTTGGGCTTGGTGAGATAAGTCAGGCTTTTCATTTGGTGCGTTGGAACCGCTGACAGCCGGCTCCAACAGGAGTTTTATAAATACTTCCTGGAAAAAAAAATGTCAGAAAACATCACAGAAAATGGAAAACGTCTGTAGAGAAGTGATGGTTTTCAGAAAGTGTTTCATTTCTGAGGGCTTTTGCATAATGTCAATAACCCACGCGGCGTGACCGGCAGCGACGCGCTCCCTGGTTCAAACAAGCTGCTCTTGGCCCCTTGTCCCCATCCCGGTCCCATCCCGGTCTCATCATGGTCCCCAGCCCAGGAGCAGCCCCACAGAGGACCAGGCTCACCCCTCCGGCATCCCCGTGTTGCTCCATGGAGCATCTTCTCCTGAGCTTCTCACTATTATTATTTTTATGGGATGGAAATAAAACTAAGGCCGTGAATGAGCCGCAGGGCAGAGTTGTGCTGGTGTTCGGGGACGGTGATCGCAGCGTGTCGGCTCCGGTCCCTCTCCTTCAGTTTAATCCCAGTGCCCGGGTCGGGTGAGCACATTTCTGGAGATGCTGTTTTCATTACAAATATATTAAGACCTTTAGATGTAATTTTTGAATTGTTTAGCTGAGGCATAAAACGCAACATTAAGTACCAGAGCTTGGTGCTCAGGCACTCCATTATCATGAGAAGGAATAAATTGAATTTCTTTTCTTAAATGTTGCTCGAGAGCAATATAAATCCCAGCTCGAGATGCTGAGGAACCGACTGTAAGAAAAGAGTGGAAAATTCTTCAGGCATATCCCTGGACTGGGGTCTTGAGTGGGGCTCAAAAGCACACAGAGCTCAGTGTCCAGCACCCTGAACACACAAACCTCACACAAACCCAGCCTAGGACAGGTGGTTTGGAAACACTTCGGGGTTCATTTTATGTTAAATGAGCAACTTGGGTTTTTTCCCAGCAATTTTTGCTGTTATTCCTATAAAGGGAAGGTTTGCTCAGGAGTGTGTATCAGTGAGCTGCCGAGCCTGGCAGCTGCCTCAGGATGTGCTTCGTTCCCCATCTCCAGCCAGAAAATGGGCAAAATTTTCCTGATTTGCTCCAGTTATACCCCCTAGATACCCTTGGCCAGGAATAAATCCTGCAACACCTGTGGGCACGTCGCATCCCTCCCTGAGGGCTCCCCGCATCCCTCCCTTGGGGCACCCCGCTCCGCCGGGGCTCCCCAAGTGATGGCCAACCTCCAGGCAGGGCGTTAGCATTTGAATCATCAATTCATGCTCTTTTGGGGCAGGAAAGAGGAGTTTTTTGGGTTTTTTAACCCAATGGGAGTCCCTGCTGCTGGGAAGACTGGGAGCAGCAGAGCCGTCCCATGAGCGTGTGTTGTTGCAGCCCCCTGCTCACCTGGAGGGACGTCCAGCATCTGCTGGTCAAAACCTCGCGGCCAGCGCACCTGCGAGCAGCCGACTGGAAGACCAACGGTGCGGGGCATAAAGGTGAGAGGCCACGGGGGTGGTGGAGGTGGTGTGGCAAAAATGGTCATGAAAGGAAAAACAAAGGTCCCCAGAGCTTCTCTTATGGGAACACTCACCCTGGATGGCCACTCTCAGCTGGCCTGGGGGCTCCCTACCACCAGGGCGTTGAGCGGAGGGAGGAGAGGGCAGTAATTTGTGGGGCAAGATGCTTGGAAGCCTTGCTTGGTGGAGGCTCTCCTGAGCTGCGGTGTTGCCCGCTCCTTTCAGTGGCCAGCTCCCAACAATTGGTTTTTGATGGTGCCAATGTGGACTTGGGGTGTAACTCAGGCAGGGTGGTGAGCTCTGTGTGTTGGAGCACCTCGTACCCCAATGAGGTCAACTCCACGCCTTCCCTGATGGTTGGAGGATGCTCCACCAGGCACCAAGGAGGAGCTCCTGACCCCTGCTTGGAAGGCAGTGGGTTTCTGAGTCTTTTCTCTCTTTCCAGTTAGCCATCTATATGGCTTTGGTCTGGTGGATGCAGATGCTATTGTGGTGGAAGCCAAGAAGTGGAAGACGGTTCCTCCCCAGCACGTCTGTGTGGGAAGCCTGGACAGGGTGCCCAAGTGAGTGTTGTGGGGTCGGTGGCTGTCCTGGGACACGTGGCTGCTTGGAAGGAGCTTTGGTGGAGCTGACTCTTGTGATGAAAAGGGTCAGCCGCAGTCCTGGCATTTGGAAAGGGAAATTAGGAATCAGGATGGGCGGGACAAGCCCGTGTGCAGGGGAGATGATGTTCATAGATTTTACAGTCAGAGCAACCTGCACCATCCACCCTGACATCTGTTTATTGAGCCAGAAGTGCCCACCCAGGGTCTGTGCCTACGGCTCAGCTCAGAGCAGGTCCTTCAGGGGCTCTCCAGGACCAGTTTGGACGGTGGGTGCTCTATTTTTGCCCTTTCCGTGCTTTTGCTTCCCAGGTGGATAATCAGCAGGGAGTTTTTGAGGGCTGATGGTTCTGTTTGCCTTTTGGAAATGGCTTAGGGAGACCAAAACCAACTCGTCTGCTGGGTCCTACATGAGCAGTGATGCCTTGGGCTCTCCTCCTTCCACCAAATGCCTCATCTTGATGGAAGACACTAGAACCCGGTGCTTTGTTGCAAGGGTTCCCAAATTTCCAGTGCCTGAGGTCTCTTTGAATTTGGCTTCAGATTCAAACCAGCTTAGGTTCACATCTCATCCTTGGTAGGTCTGTCCATGATAGGTTAAAGGGTGAGATCAGATCTGTCCAAATGGACCCTCCTGGTTTACCACTGCCTGGCTGTAGAGCAAGTCGAGTTGTTCATCAGCAAAGCAGTTCCTTTGGAAAGACTTGCGTACGCAAAGCAATCAGGAATGAATTTGGAGCCAAGCGTGTTCATGAAACTATTTATCTGATACAGACACTAATTACAGCCCAAAGAGGAACGCTGCGCCGATAATTATAATAAAGCAGCGCCCTTGCAGCCCATAAGGCATAGATCTTAGAGGCAGCTCAAACCCATCTCGTTACCATCGAGCAATTCAGCAGATTCCCGTGCTGGGACACTGTGTTGCAATGGAGGATGAGATCATTTTGGCCATGAAGCAGCAGAAGACCGGGTTCAAATATAACTGGGCACCTGCGCCGCTGGGAATTGGGGAGCGCTGCCGTCCCCGATGCGACGCTCTGCCCGTGCCCGGCAGGTACATCCGTGCGGACCACGTGCTGCGTGCCAGCACCCTCAGCAGCGCCTGCGCCGAGCACCGCGACCAGCACGTGCTCTACCTGGAGCACGTCGTGGTGCGGCTCAGCATCTCGCACCCGCGCCGCGGCGACCTCCAGATCAGCCTCGTCTCTCCGGCGGGGACCAGGTCGCAGCTGCTCGCCAGGAGGTAAGAGCGGCCGGAGCCAGCACGCGTCTGGGCTGGGCAGCATCCTGCTTTAAGGGGTTGCTGCAAGTCTGCTCAGGTTTTTCGGGAAGGTGAGGGGCGTGCTCAGGTCTCAGCTGCAGGAGGGCTCCGTGCAA